GCCTCATGATGAAGCTCCACGCCTTGGGTCTGAGAGGTAATTTGCCAATTTTTATTAGTAATTTTTTGCAGGACAGGACTTTTTCCGTCAAATTAAAAGGTAACGTAAAATCAGACACATTTGTCTTTGAAAATGGAGTTCCACAAGGTAGCGTTTTGGGCCCAATTTTATTCCTTATAATGATTAATAATTCCCTATCACCAGCCCCCAGCCTAAGTGACCTCAAATTCTCCTTGTTTGCTGACGATTGCGCAATCTGGCGCTCCTCTCGAGCTGAGAGGCTATCTGCACAAAGGGTGCAAGCTGGCCTAAAAGCCGCGGAACAGTGGGCAATAGAATGGGGATTTAGGTTTTCAGTTGAGAAGACAGTAGGAGTAGTCTTCACTAAGAAACGTAACATTAGTAATCCAGTATTAAAATTAAATGATACTCCTATTAAATTTCAGACTTCAGTAAAATTTCTTGGTGTTCATTTTGACCGGAAATTAACGTGGAAAAACCACATTAACGAACTTGAAAGTAAATGTCTTAAAGTCACAAACATCCTGAAAGTTTTATCAGGTACTACATGGTGAGCCGATAGGAAATCTTTATCAATGGTGTATAAGACCCTGATCAGATCAAAACTTGATTATGGATGCCAGTTGTATGCTTCGGCATGCAACACCACACTCGCAAAGCTAACCAGAATACAGAACCGATGCCTTCGTCTATGTCTGGGTGCCTACAGGTGTACACGTGTAGGTAAACTAGAGGTTGAGGCCCACGTCCCTCCACTTCACATCAGGAGGGACATGTTGACGCTAAGGTACGGGTTGAGTACGGCTAGGAAGCGCGGCACAGACCACCCAGGTTGGTGTGCTGTTGCTAAATTCCGTTTCCTGCAGCTGCGTAGGTCCCCGTCCTCGGTTGTCCGCCTCCAGACCTTGTGCCAGGGTGCTGGTATCCATTTCGAAGACGTTGATAGATACGTTCCACCGTTGTGTCCGCCATGGGAGAACCCCAACTTCCATGTGGAAACATCGTGGCTTCCGGGAGCGAAGAATGACTTTCATCCTGAGCTCCTGAGGCAACTTTTCTATCAATTTCTTGAAGGATTCAGCGCCTATACTCACGTGTACACCGACGGGTCCAAGACTGACGACAACGTCGGAGCCGGTATCTGGAGCAGAGACGGGGAGTGGAGCGCCCGCCTGCCGCGGCATACAACCATATTCTCTGCAGAAATGTTCGCAATAAGTAGAGCCATTGACATTGCAATAACAAGCAATGTCAATGATGTCGCTGTAATTTCAGATTCCATGTCAGCTCTTAAAGCAATTCAAGGTGGTAATACTACCAGCAATGAGATACAGGGCAACATTATTAATAAATTACATGAGTGTGCCAAGAATATTGTGCTGGTGTGGGTGCCTGGGCATTGTAACATTTGGGGCAATGAACAGGCAGACAGATTAGCAAGAGCGACTGTGGGTCTCGGGGAGACAACTAATGTACCCTGGGAGACTCAGTCGTGTCTCTCCTTGGGGAAGACATATACATTTGGAAAGTGGCAACTTGAATGGACTAGGTTGGATCTCCACAACACCTGGAAGCCTAATATAGGAAACTGGCCCTCAGCATATAGAAAGAATAGGAGGGAAGAGGTCGTTCTCGCCAGACTAAGGCTGAATTGTACCTATCCGACCCACCTAGGGGCCTATCTTGACAAATCCTTCCCACCTATCTGTGCCACTTGTAACCTAATTCTCTCCATCAGACATATTCTGACTGAGTGCAGCCAGTACGAACCAGAGCGGCGGCAGCTGGTGATCCTAGCTGCCGAGCAAGGCTTCGTGCTGACTGTACCCAACCTATTGCAAGATAATGTCACCATAAGTGACGCAGTAATAACCTTCCTCAAGGAGACCCATCTTATCGGCATGTTATGATTGACACACGCATGAACTCTTTTTATATCTATTATATGTATGTAACCATGCCTTAAAAAATAAAAAATAAAAAAATAAAAATGAATAAAACAAAAATTAAAACATACAACATGAGAAACACATCACAAACCTTATCATTACATACAACACTCACATTTATCAAGCTAAACTGACACCCACCAACATATATTCAAACAAAAAGACACGGGCTACAAAAGACAAAATAAAAATAATAAAAAAAAAAAAATCACAGAGAAACTAGTCACCTGACAAGCCATTTCATCTGGTCTGTCACTAACTCACCATCATATCACTCATGCATACCATAATTCATCCCAAATAAAACAACAAGAAGAAAGAAGTAACCAAAATACCAAGAACAAGAAGAACACAAGAATAACAAGAAAAGAAGAAACAAGAACATCAGATTAGTTGTAGCAAGAAAGAAGACCAAGATTAGAAGAAGAAAGAAGACATCAGCTTCGGCCGAAATAGCCTAATGGCGAAGAGGCCAGTAATCCCCAACATCAGTCAGTCAGCCAGTGCACCTCGGCGAGGCAAGATCTTCTCTGCTCCCGAGGTATTGTGTGAACTTGACGATGCTGACCTGTGACCAGGCGAAGGTCATAAGACTGTACCCAGTCATAGGCTCTTCGCACAAGCAACTAAACCTCCTTGTCCTAAGGAAGTTTTTTGACTCTTTAGAAATCAGGGGGGTGACAAGGGTCGTCCGCAGACCAGTGAGTGGTGGCCTAATGGTCATCTTCGCGGAATGGGGACAGGCCCAGCAAATAGCCAACATAACAGAAATTAACGGGATCCAGATACAAGTGCAAGCTCATCCAGAGGACAACTTGGTGTTGGGAGTCATCTCCCACACCGAGATAGAACACCTTGAAAAAGAAGAACTGGCTGAGTTGATCGGAGACCAGCTCACAATAGTACGGAAGCTGACCAGTGGAATAGCACTGGTTAGCTACCCCACGAAGTACCAAGCACCGTTTTGCTGGGATGGGAGAAACATCTCAGCAAGACCGTATGAAAGAAGACCAACAAGCTGTTACAAATGCCAGAGGTACGGCCATCTGGCGGGGAAGTGTCGTGCTCGGGAGGTCTGTTGCAGGTGCGGAACACCCGGGCACCAGGACACCAACTGCTCGGCGGCCGACAAGAAATGCGCAGCTTGTGGTGGCCCTCACTCATTCTCTGACCGGGAGTGTCCCAAGTGGGGGGGGAGGAGTGTAGGGTGGCTAAGCTGCGAACCAAGAAAAAACTGAGCTACAAGGAGGCTCTCCTTGTAGTGAAGACCGAAGAAAAGAAGAATCAAGATCCCAACAAGACCGAAGAAAAGACCAAGAAACAAGAACACCACGAGACCCCAGAGGCAGAAGCCCACGAGACCAAGCTCACCCTCTCCGACTTTTTCCACATCTACGAACACCTAGGGCACGATGATAACCAAGAACAGGACCCAAACTCTACCGAATGGACAGTCCAAGAGAGCAAGAAGAGGAGGAAAAGAAGAAAATCAACTTCAAGCTAACAAGAATACCAAGACAGAAGACCAAGATATTTCTTTGCCCAACCCGACACGCACCTGACGTTTGACCTGACGCTCACCTGACTCGGGGTCCTGCCCCCCTCCTCGCCACGTCCAGACTGTTGCTGCTGCCTCCATCTTAAAGCCCAAAATAACGCAAGCGGTGTTTAGCCACTGCACCTTTTCTCTCCTTCTAAAATTCACTTCAATCCTCCCTTTAACCATCCCCTGAACCTCTTTCCCCCCTGTCACTAGCCTTTGTTCAGTTCAGTTTCCAGGGAGGCCATTCTACTCTGACCTACTGGACCAGCAAGACCTCTCTACAGCGCCTCACCAACCAGCTCCTTTAGGAAGCTCCTCGCCCAACAGGACCTCTGAGCAAACTACTCATCACCTAGTAACTCTGTAGTGGATTCCTCCCCTACAAGCGCTTGTCGCTGAGTAGCCGACCCCGCGAATTCCCCAGTGTATGCTTCGTGGTCTGGGTCAACCAGCGCCGCCATACATCACGGAGGTCAACTATTAAGCCACGCCTACCTCCGCTATATAAGACCTGACCTCGTGGTGACCTACCTCTCTTTCTACCTACAGCCAGTCTTCAAGTAACACCACCTCCTCCGCTCCTGCCTGGCGGCCTTCGCTCCTGCCGGCGAGCATGGCGACCCACAAGCTGGTCCTCCTCTGAGCGTCCTCACCAACCAGCTCTCTCTACATCACGTTTGTAACCACGCTGCCACTGCCCAGCACCAAGCTGCACTGTACAACAATATATATACAGAAAACGCATTGTGAGTTTCTATTCTACCTCTATCCTGAGTGTGAGATATCTTACATGTACGTACGTTTGTGAGCCCATACAAAGAGAGAATAGACAACCAAAGAGAACTGACAACTGGCCACATGCAGTACAAAGTAACATAAGTTCCAATGATGAAGGGGAAGAGCGACAAAAGAATTTGTCTGAACCGCTCGTGAGTCTCGCCATTATGTCAAGGGTTCGAGTCTCGGCCCGGACACACGTGAGAAGGGTGTTATCCAGAGTGACTCTACCAAGCATCATAGATTTCCCGGTCCTCGGTTTCCTCCTGTACTAACATTGGAGAGAGCGCCCAAACTGGGAGTAAACTGATAAGTGGCGAAATTTAAAAAAAAAAAAAAGTGTGGGATAAATTACCGAGGTGTTGCCTCCTTTCATTCGTCTGATACAGTTTATGGCGAATGTTTTCACTGGAAAATATTTTTATTTTTACAAGAACAAAGAATTTAATAAATGTTGTACCATTCGTTTGTGTATTTCAAGTTTCTTAAATATAATGTGCAATCATGATATTCCTAAATTTTCCTAAATTACAAGGAATCTACAGACAATACTTGAGATAAATGCACAAATACAATATATCAACTGCCTACAACATAGGCTCTCAACTGGCTCAGCCATGTTAATATTAAGATTTTTAAATGACTGTATCTGTGTTATTCTTGTTAAATAAAGTGTTATAAGGGCAGCACCACCTGGCGAGAGTGAGCCACCGGGTGTGCGCGTCACCGCCGGCGCAGGCGTCGACTGGCCACCACATTTAAACTTCACAACAAACCTTTACCAGTTAAGACTATCAAGATTTCTTTTAATTTTCGTCGTCATTAAGGTAAAGGAATTAGTCTGTGGGATAAATTTGTATCTAACGATTTCTTAAGAAACATTGGTGAGGATTTAGTGCTTCTTTAGTAAGTTAACGGTACATTTATAAGCTTATTAACTTCTTACAACTCGCACTGCAAACGTTGATGGTGTTGAAAACTTCCACCTCTTTGTTTAAGTCACATTATTGTTGAAGATATAAAGTTGATGTACAGTACGTGGACGCTTTAGAGAAGTAGGTGGTATAGCTAATTCCTTAGTATAGTTGTTTGTGTATTGAGGTGCCATAGACCTTGACCGAGGCTGCTACTAAGGTATACTGCACTCCACTACCTAATGCATGTTTTGGGTTCTTGTTTTTGTGTAACTTGGGTAACCAGTTCTAGTGGAATTGATAATGCAAAGAACCTAGATTATATGAGACTGGCTACCTAGACATACTAGTTTTATACATTACAATGGGTTCGGTTAATATTTAGAAGTTGCCACTCACATATACCCACAGATGACGTTCTGGAAAGAGGCTGTTATGCCTCTGCATCCAGCTCTAAATTTGCAGCTGAATAAGTGGTGGTGGCGGTCGGGATAATGAACTGAATTTTAGCTTTGTAATTATATAGCAAATTCTGATTTAAGAACCAAAGAATGGAGGAAACTGCAGCGGGCTTATTGGCCCATACTGGGCAGTCCCGTTTATACCCAACCCCTATTGCTCATATATCCATCCAACCTATGTTTGAAGTTATCCAGCGTATTTGAGATAATGATGATATTTGGTAACGTGTTCCAGTCGTTCACTACTCTATTTCCAAACCAATGTTTACCTATTTCGCACCTAATTCTAAATTTGTCTAATTTAAAACCATTGTTACGAGTTCGCTTCTGGTTGGATAGTTTGAGTACCTTTGTAATGTCCCCTTTGATCAGCCCTGACTTCCATTTATACACCTCTATCATATCGCCCCCTCACTCTTTGTCCAAATTTTGGTTAATATTTTCCCCCATAACGTCATTAGGTTAGGTTAGTTTAGATTAGGCTAGGTTTGGTTAGGTTTCTTTCCTTTGATATGAGAAATTGTTTTTCTGGTGTATGTTGGTGTGATTCAGTAAAATTTGACCTTCGTTACTTGTGAAAATAGTAATTTTTGGTGTTTTTAAATTTTACAGAAAAAGAGAAAAAATAAAAAAACGATTAATTTCTTCAAGAAACGAAGGTCACATCTGGCCGAAACACCAAAATACATCGGAAAAACAATTTCTCATATCGAAATAGGCATATGGGGGATAGATTAACAATTAACCAAATTTCTTTCAATGGTTAAGACCGACTTAGATCCAATTACATACTGGGGTAACACATTCCAATTATTTATTACTCTATTACAAAACGAGTTCTTTCTTTTGTTTTGTTGTGATCTACCCTTAAATATTTTTTTATGGTGACCTCTAGTTGTCTGGTCCTCTCGCAATATAAAAATATCCTGACACACTTCCAGGTCGTACACACCACAGAATCTTGTATGTTTCTATCATGTCTCCTCTTGCTCTTCTGTAGGCTAGTGTGGGTAATCTCAGCTTCCTTAATCTTTCTCCATATGTCAGGTTCCCATTTCTGATAACTTGTGTCAGGTCGTTTATGAAGATAAACAGTAATGGTCCCAACACAGACCCCCTGAGGAACTCCGCTTATTACCTCTTGCCATTCAGACATACGTATAACCATTCACTGCAACACATTGTCTTCCGCAGCTGAAAAAGGCCTCTATCCATTTCAAATATATGTCCCCGATACTATAGCTCTTTATTTTTTCCAGAAGTCTTCTGTGTGGCACTTTGTCGAAGGCCTTCATGAAGTCACAATACAGTATATCCACTGTATCTCTTTCCTCCAATGTCTTAGTCCACTGATTCATCGCTTTTATCAGTTGTACAGTTGTTGATCACCCTGGCAAGAAACCAAACTGCTTATTACTAAATAATTTATGTGCCTTCATATGCCCCATTATCTTTAACCTGATTAACGACTCTATTAGCTTATATATTACACTGGTGAGGCTCACTGGTCTGTAGTTTGCTGGGTGACAGCGGTTTCCTTGCTTGAAGATAGCAGTGATGTTTGCAGTCCTCTGGCAATTGGCCACTATTGAAGGAGTGTTCAACTAATATTTTCAGTGGTTCTGCTAGCTTATCAATTCCTTCCTTGATGATTCTTGGATGCAGACCATCTGGCCCTGGAGACTTAGTTCTTTTCAACTTTTTGATTGCTTGCTTTATTTGTGTTATGGAAAACTCTATAGATGACAGTGCAGGCACTTCCTTGGTTGGAAGACCGGGTACAGTGGTCCCTTGGTTAACGAGCGCCTCGGTTAACGAGTTACCTTCCATAAGATTCTTAACTTCGGTGCATTTGGTGGTCCACCAGCTGTAGTATTAGCCCGCCAGTACAGTAATCGGTTCTAGGGCTTAAATTCCTTACCATTTTAGTAAATATCAAGAAGTTTATACTATTCAATAATTTTAAAAGTTTAATGTTAAATTTTTTAGTCATGTTAACAATTATTGAACATAATTGAAGGTAAGGTCGCTAGTTTCATGCTCGCCATCCAGCCTGCCAACACACCATACAGGCGTCAGTCTTTGTGTCTTTTCAGTGGAGGTAACATCTATCTTGAGACTCTCTTCAACTAAATGCTTTTTTCTGTGTTTGCAAGCAAATTATTGGTCATTTTGACAATATATAATGCAGTGCAGTGTTGATTTAAAGAAAATAATCTTGAATTACACCAAGAGAACTAAAATTTTATGGGTGAAATAGTGCCATGGGGTGACTTCTCTTCCACTCCAATGCCTTCTCTTCTCCCTTCTCCTCCACCCCCATTCTAATTCCCATCATCATCAACATCATCCAGGAGCCTTCTACATACACACCTCAAAGTAAGTGTACTTTTCTACCTTTTTTGTTGAATTTAGGCAATTTTTGGTGAGCTGGAACCAATTACCCAAAAACCCATTGAAACAATGGTTTCGGTTAACAAGCAACCTTCTAGAACGGATTGTGCTCGTTAACCAAGGGACCACTGTACTTCCCCTGCTGGTTCCTTAGTAAAAATTTTGCTGTCCATTTTTGTCTTAATCGTGTTTTCATCATCACCTTAAAGATCCGGGACACCCATTTTTCTTGTTAGTCTTGCCTGCACATACAGTACTTCCAAAAAATCTTTGGGTTTTCCTTTGCATGCTCTGAAATATTTTGTTCCTTATTTTTCAGGGTTCATTCCTGGTCTCATTTCTAACTTGATTGTTGATTCGTCTGTATTCTTTCTTTGCTTCTTGATATTCCCTGTTGTTTACATCTTCACCCCCTTTATTTGTTGATCTCAGCTGTTTCCTTCTGGTCCACAGTTCGTTTTTCTTTCTGATTTTTGTCCATAATCATCTGTTCGTAGGTAATTCCTTGTTTGTTCTTCTTTTTAATGATGTTCTATCCTTGAATTCTCTCACAGGGACACATTCACTGATTACCTCCTGAAGTTTTGTCTTGAATTTTGTACACTTTTCTTCTATGTCATTTACGCTTAAAAATTCCTCCCAATTAATGTCCAGTTTGTGCCTCATCAAGTCAAACTCTGCCGTCTTGTACATATAGACTAGCCTTTTACAGTTCTTCTCTTGTGCTTTAATATTATATGTGAATGTTATGCAGGCATGGTCACTCCTCCCAATCGGACTCCCCACCTCCATGTTCTCCACAGTTTCCTCCTCACTGCAAGTCAGGACACTTCCCGTATTCATTCCTCTATGTCTTGTGATTTCTGTGATGTGTTGGGTCAGGTAGAAGTCTCATTTTTTTCAATGAATCTTTGTTCCATACTATAGATTCCTGCTGTTGTAGTGCAATTTTTCCAATTTATGTTTGATAGATTGAAGTCACCCAATATTATCTTGTGCTTTATATTAATATTACAGTATTTATCTCCTGCATTATGTTTAAAAGTTTATAATTTTCTGTCTTGTTACTGCTTGGACTTCTGTAAATTGATGCAATTAATATAGACTCATTCACGCCTTTCACTTCCATACACATGTATTTGTAGTACTGTATTGTTGTTCCAAGTTAATGACATTGAGTGCAATATCTTTTCTAATGTAAACAAAGTAATCCCCTTCCTTCTTCTGCATTTGTGATGTTTTTATCAATCATTTCATATCCATCAAGGCTGTATTGATACTATCATTTTTTCAAATCTATAATTTTTTGGTCTTATTTCCTGTAGAGCAATAACATGGGGATTAACCTTATTTTCTAACAGCCTTGCTTTTAGTTAACAAAGTTTAGCAGGTGAAATCACATCTACATTACTAAACATTACAGCAAACTTATTTACAATACAGTGGTCCCTCCATTATCCCGGTAATAGAATTCAACAAAACATTAAATTAAACAAAATACAGTACTGTACAGTAAAGTATACTGTACAATAATAAAACAAAAATAAAAATAAATAAATAAAATATTTTAACACTTAATTTGAGATGTGTATGTCGAATTCCCGGCGGCTTTGTTTACATAGCGGCAGCGCAAACAGCTGATTGTAGACACAATCGATGACGACATGCCATATTCTTTACAGAGTGCATTGATTCTAATGCCTTCTTTGTATTTCTTAATTTCTTATTTCACTTGAATTGAAATCGCTTTCGGAGATTTCTTCGGACCCATACTTGATAATTTCACCAATAAAATTTCAAGTTCAAAACAATTTATTTAACTAATTCCAGATTTTTTTATTTAAACCAACACTTCACTGTATATTATCAATATGTTAACTAAAATTCAGAATTACCAATTATTTTAAAGTAAAAATGCAAAAATATTCAAGAGCACAACTTTCTCGATGTTTACTCCACTGGAAACAAAGGTAAACAGAGAACCGATTATTGGCGGACGAGTCGATCAGCTGATGCGAGCACCAAAACGTGCTTCTAGTAAGGCTGTCGTTAATAGAATTTGTACTTGTTAATAGAACCGAAAGTCCTTACGGGAGGTAACTCGTTAACTGAAATCTCATAAATTGAACCGCTCGTTAATGGAGGGTCAACTGTATTGTTAATGCTAGACCCAGATGTATCTTCACTCTCTGAAAATTCATCTAGGCCTGGTCTGCTGGGATTGGCGGGTCTCCTCCTAGCCGTATCGTGGCGGTCTTCATCTTAGTCCTCCGCAGTGTCCATCCTCTTTAGCTTCACTAGGTATCTGTTCTAGGAATCTCTCGCCACATAAAAATTTCCCAATTCAATTTCATTCCGATTCATTTATATTTGTTGCTTCCTCCCTTAGTTCTTTGTCCTTCTGCCTTTCCTCCTTATTCATGTCATGTGAGAGAATCACCTTTTTCATCACTTCACTTCTTGCATCTTTTCATTTATAGTCATGTCTGAGTACATTTTCCTTCACCCCATCCCTTAGGGTTACCAATATTGGCCTCCCTTTTGGCTTTGGGTCTCCTGCACTGTTCCCAGCCTCTCGGTTATATTTTCCTACTCTTTTTATGTCAATGACATCATCCTCATAGGTCTCCTCTCCAATTTCATTGCAAAGTTCAAGGAAAATCCTTGTGTCCTGCTTTGTTTTTTCCGATCAAATTGACTTTTGAAAATGGGTTTTTATAGTGTAAATCATCATGTTAAATACAAATATGCCCTTCATTGCCATCAGAAATGAGGTAATAATAATAATAATAATAATAATAAACGGTTTATTGAAAGAGCTTGGCAGCCAGAAGGCTGAAAATATACAGTTACATATTTGGGGAATGGGTTTCGAATTACAAATAATATACAAGTAACATAAGTGATACAAATAAGATATATAATAACTAGATGGGGAAAAGCTCAAACTACAGTTCATTTCAACATAGTGACAGTGCAAGGAGTAGTATTTACTGGAAGTGAATACACTGATTTATTACAAGTTATTGATAATTTTTACAATGGTTGGGACTGGGCTACCTGTGCAGGTTAAAAAAAAAAATATATATATATATATATATATATATATATATATATATATATATATATATATATATATATATATATATATATATATATATATATATATATATATATATATATATATATATATATATATATATATATATATATATATATAGAAAAAGTGGAAGGTCAAACAAGGTTAAAATCTCAGAAAACTAGAAACCTAACCTAACCCCTAGTGTGTAAGAAACTTACCTTAAGTAAGAGATACCGGAGGATAGAGTAATGCGACTTGAATGCGGAAGTGGTGTCTTCATCAGTGCCCGTCTCTTATCACAGTATCATGCATGGTGATCTACATAGTACTGACACTCTGAATTACATCTTGGACACGTTACAGATGAAACAAAACACCGTGAGCCCTAAAAATGAAAACGGCTGCTGCTTCATTGTCCAAAATGCACTGAATAATGCAGCAGCCAACCAATGTATATCCATCTCACACAGATCTCAACTTTCAACTGGCCACGAATGCTGATTAGCGCACGAGTATTATGTCACATTGGCACTCACGCTGATTGGCCAAACATTATAAAATAAAAGTTAAAACAACCCAAAAACTCTAAATTTCCGACGGAGGTGTTATGGAACATGTTTTTTTTCTCTATCTCCCCGTATATGACTCAGTATTCAGTTACTGTAGGTGGTGGCAACTTCTAAATATTGACCATGGGTTCTCCTACATTAACAATTCTATGTTAGTTATTTTGTGTTTAATTTGAATCTACTACCAAGCTGCCAAATATAAACCTTAAGAGCTCTGTTAGCCTTAGGTTAATCATTTCATGTAGCATTTAAATGATATGTGAATGGATGAAAAGTTATGATGCAAAAATGGTAGTATTGCAGTTTCATTCACAATTGGGTTGGGGGGGGGTGGGTTGATAACTCAAAAACAACTTATTTTTGACAGAAATGAAGGTCAAATTCGAATGAATCATGAAATACTATGGGAAAACCTGGATTTCTTGTCAAAAACCGATTGGTAGTAAAACTACAATTATACCACAAAAAATTTGTTTCAGAATCCTTCAGCATGGGAAGTGATGACGGCAGCAGCAGCAAAGTGATTCCGGTGAAGGTAGCAGTGCGGGTGCGACCTCTCAATGGTAGAGAGACACGTGAAGGGTGTCAGGAGTGTCTCGATGTCACAAATGGATCTCCTCAGGTTTGTTAACAATCACTAGTGAAAATTTTATGTGATAAATTTATATTATTAAATTATTTTTATATTGCACTGTATGTCAAATCTCATGCATCTTTTTATACTGCCAATAAGAAATACAGGACTGTACTGTATATAGACCACAGGATAGTTACTGGGCATACATACTATAAACCACCTCAGAATATGTCTAATGTTCCAGCCCCTTGTGTACAGGGGTCTCTCTCTGCTGAATAAAACTGTCTGGTTCTCCAAATAAAATATTAAAAGTGGTATTGTCATTGTGAAAGGGTTAAACTCCTTAAAAAAATAGCTATATCTTTTGTAATGTAGAAACCAACGTGTCAATAAATAGATTTTACATGGTAATGCATATAGTACTATGAAACTGCTTGTCAGAAATTATCAAGTGCTGTTAGTTATGTTAGCTGAGTTGAGAGAATTTTAAATACCTAGACATTTGATTTTTTCACAGGTTGTGGTGCGGGGAACAGAAAAGGCCTTCACTTTTGATTTTGCATATTCAAATGACTGTTCCCAAGCCTATATTTATGAAACTGCTGTGAAGAATGTAGTTACTAATTTATTTAAAGGTAAGCAAAGCATTTTTTATCAACGAACCATTACAGTACTGTACAGTACTTTGATTCTTGGTTTCATTTACACTTCTGCTGGTTGAATTAGAGAAGTTCGTAATATAGTACAGTGCTTGATATAGTACGGTACATGATATAGTACGGTACATCACTTTCGTTTTAGTGACTGCGGTACGACAATAGTAGGTAATGTAAATACCAATCAGTAATTATGTGTTGGTACTTTAAATGCCATGAAAAAAGGACCTGTACTGTATTTAACATGAAGAAGAAATCTAATAGCCATATGGGTCTGAACAAATTTGAAGAGGGGTCAAGGGTATCATAGTAGAAGGGAGATAACCTGCAATATTTTATTAACCTGTGAGTACAGCTGGGCATGTCGATGGGACTTTGCAGAGGTAGGAGGGGCAGTGTATATTTTATTTTGTGTCTGTGTTTGATGTTCTGTTAAATTCTCATGATGCATTTCTCACAAAGATGTTCTTGGTAAAGTGGAATATATATAAAGTACCGTAACAGTTTTAACTTGGTCTCATGGGGATTAAACTAATACACTAAAAATCTTTCTGAAGACTGTCAGATTTTGGGGGGTAAAGAAGCTAGAATTCTTCTTCTTCATTGATGTCAAGAAGTCTTATCTAAGGCTTTTGGAATGATTGTTTATCTTCTTTTAATGAAGACCTACAAGGATAACCTTGCAAGTAACTACTTCATGATGTCTCGATCTTTCCACATTATTTTCTTTGGTAAATTAATACATTTGCCTGTGTTTCTTGTCATCAGTTTTTAAGGGCTTGGTAATACAATCCTTAAGTCACATTCAGTCTTTGTTTCATGTGTTGTTTTCACTTAGTTAATGACTCAACTGTAATTCATTGGTGAGATGCTTTTGGGGTCTGCTGTTACCCAGCCTCCAACTTAAGGGGTACTACTCTACACATAATATCCTCTGTTGGTTAATGTACAGTAAGTCCTCGCTTAATGTCGTGGTTCCGTTCCTAAAAATTGCGACATTGACGGAAACGTTGACGGAATCAATTTTCCACATAAAAATATATATAAAATACTGAATTTATGTTCCCCAGCCTCCCTTTGCCCCTTAAAACACATTACATATACATAAATTCAATGGAATTTTTATTGAAAATAGTATACCCTCTGTATATTAGACATCCAAAATGATAAATACTGTAAAATAAATCATTCTGTATTGTACTCTCTGATGGGCGGAGGTGGAGCGAGCGTGTGGTAGGAGGGTGGCGAGTCACTGAGACCTGGAAAGCCTCCTCCCGCTCTGACAGGGTGAGCACCGTACAAAGTAGCCCATGACGACGTTATACTGAGGATTGAATGTACTTCATTGTCTAGCTTCAGTCACTGAGGAACCCTTCACAGTGATTGTCTGTAGATTGAGAGTAGTTTGGTTGATTAAAAGGGAACAATTTTCTCATACTGGATTTATTTGTTCACATGGCATGGTTAACACTAGGTAGGTCATTATATCCCTTACCTCTTTTGACCTTAAGAGCTGAGTTGACCTTTCATGAATTTTCACTCTTGCCAGATACTGAGAACATTTTATACCCCAGAGAAGCACCGTGAAGTGTTCCACCATCAGGAAGTGCACACTGTGCATATTCATTTATTGGTGAATGAGAGAACCCAGTCTTCTAATCTCATTTAAAAACAAATCTGTGACCATTGCTTGTGCTGTGAACACTTTACCAGTTGAGCTATGGTGTTACATTTATATGATGATAAGTGTTTTAAACAGTTCATTGTTGGTTCAACCTTGCAGGGGTACAGTATACATTTGAGACTTAAACTTATATTTTCTGTAAAATGAGCGTGACATGCAATATATGATTAAAATAGGGGTCAAGAAAAGCAGATGGACATTGGGCATACTAGAGGAAGAAGTTTTAAATTAAATTAATAAAAGATGTAATTTGTGTTAAGTGTTTTGGATGAGGTAGCTATAGCGGGAGGCTGAAAGTTAAGTGAAGAATTGAGCAAAGGAGTATCTGGGTGTGAGGGATGCAAAGATGCAAAATCCAGAAATGTGTTAAGGTGGTACAGGTACTATATAGAGATGGATTTTTCTATAAGCCACCCTTATGTATATTGGAAAAGATCAGTGTGATATTGATTTGTGTAAACAAGAATGACTAATTTAATATTTGGATGTTTTTTCAGGTTATAATGTGACAGTAGTGGCTTATGGGCAGACAGGGTCAGGCAAGACCCACACTATGGGAACAGCTTATACAGAGGGTGAAATTCCTCACAATGAGGCAGGTATCATCCCAAGAGCTGTGCGAGATATTTTTGATGGGGTGGGAAACCAAACAGAATGTGAATTTATGGTGAAGGTATCTTTTATTGAGGTAAGACATTTTGAAGATTACTTTATAAGTTATTATTATATAGGGTGTTTATGGGCAAATATTTTGGCCAATATATTTATGGTTGAATAAGTACTGTACTGGGTAATTAAGAATTTCAAAAAAATTCCTTATGTTACACACTTTCAGCTGTACAAAGAGAACCTGTTTGACCTTTTGAGTACCAAAAACAGAGACGAATGTTCTGTTGACATCAGAGAGGATCCAAGGGGAGGCATTAAAATTGTTGGACTCTCAGAGATCCCAGTTGCCACTCTGGATGAAACTATGAAATGTCTGGAGCAGGTAAGTTAATGTTAAATTTTGTTGTCGTGTTCCAATTACGTTCCTTGTACCATTAGATTATGTAAATTATTATTTGGAGAGCAATATGTTAGAATTATATAGCTATATCTGCTTACTTTCCTCTCTTATATTTTTAATCCATTACATTTTTCACAGGGTGCATTGAATAGAGCAACAGGTGCTACTGCAATGAATGCCCACTCCAGTCGCTCACATGCAATATTTTCACTGCACATTCAACAAAGGAATAAAAAGGAAGGGTATGTGATCGACTAATAGTATTTATCTTCCTTTGAATTACTGGAGAGTTCATTATATATTATTGACCTGCTACAGGGTTGGTTTTCTGTTAACTCCTGGGTTACATAGACACCATAAATTACATATTGGTGTGCTTTTAATTGTTGCAGGTAAGTGAAATCAACATCTGTTCTTTGTTAGTAAATTTGAGTTTAAATATTAGGATTTTCTATAAATATTACAGTAGAGAGAGTGCCTCTGGAATATTGTGTGATGTTTTGTTTTCCCAGGGATTAATACTCCTTTGTTCTGTATTGAATAGATATGCTAAATCTCACTTCTTTTACTTTTTTTTTTTTTTTAGATTTCTAATACCATACTTAAAGGTAAATGTGCTATAATTTATATAACAAGTAGCTACCAAAAACAGATTGTTGATTGTTTTAATGTGATTTTTTTTATTTGGTGGCTAGTTTGGTCATACAAAGTCACTAACTGCTCAAATGCACTCTCTTCCAAGATTTTATTGAAATTAATAATCCTATTATTTTGATAAATATTATAAAAAACAGGACTTAGCTACCATGTCTACAAGAAGGTTTAAGTTTACAATTAAATACTCACAAATATCTAGGCTTTTTCTTCTCATTAAGTCTCCTTATCTTGTTGAGATGATAAAGATTTCCAGTACAGTTGTGTACTTCATTTGCTTTTAAGATATGAAACTGATGATTGTTTTAATGCTAAGTGTAATTTATGGAAAAATATTAATACTGAATCTACTGATCAATGAGTAATTACTAATGAGATCTCATTTACAGTAGTTGAGACTGAAGCAAGGTTAATAAGAGAATTATCATGCTTTGTCTTTTATAGGGAAAGTATTACTTGTTCCAAGTTCCACATGGTTGACTTGGCTGGCAGTGAACGAGCCAAAAAGACTGGAGCCACTGGGGAGAGGTTCAAGGAGGGTGTCAACATCAACAAAGGTCTGCTAGCACTTGGTAATGTCATATCTGCCCTCTGTGAAGAAGGAGGCAGAGGTCATATTCCCTACAGAGACTCCAAACTTACCAGATTATTACAAGGTATAACTACTGCAGTATTTCATGCATCTGTGATTAAACTTGAGATGTCAGTACTGTATTTCACTTTTTCTTGTGTGTATTAAATTAATGAAATCGGGAATTAAGCGAGGGTTACCTGTCAGGAAAGTTTATTAAAGGAAAAGGATAGTTAAATGTCCTTATCATTAATTCACCTGTTAGGGCAAAATATTATATAGAATTGAACTTCACAGTGTCTTAAGCAAAACTTATTGATAGATTTATTACAGCAAGTAATAGATCTAGTAGTTAGTAGGCAGCTATCAAACAGGGAGGTACTACCGCCTGGGAAAATACAGCTCCTCCCCGACTTACGACCTACTCGACTTATGACCTACTCGACTTATGACCTACTCGACTTATGACCTACTCGACTTACGACCACCCGCACTTACGACCAGCCTCAGGCGTACCAAAATGTTGTCAAATTACGTATTTTTGAGTCCCAACATCAGTACACAGAGAAAATTTTCATTTGTAGTTCACTTTAAAATGGCTGGCAAGCTTAAAAGTGAGAGTTTTGTGGTGCCGAGAGGAAAAAGAGACCCCCATTTTAGATTTTCTATGTATTATTTAAGCAATTTCGACTTACTACCTGGATTTGGGTCCCTAGGAGCTGTATTGGAAGCATAATGTGTTGTCTAATGGTAGACCCTGCTGCCTCGTTTACTTTGACAACACAACTCATATCTATCATTTCTCACTTTTGATTTTTTTTTCATTTGTTTTGGTTCTATATTATTATTATAATGAATCTTTTTAATTTGTATTTTATTATTATTATTAGATATCTTTGCCTCCCAGGCCCTTATGTGGGTCATTGACCTGTGCCCGAGTGGGCTAATCCCCTTAAAAAAGAAAAGAAAAAAATGCATTTTAATGCAGTCTTCATGCTTTAGGACCTAGGAATGCATATTTTTTGTAGCCAAATTTCACCCTGGATTATAGCCAAGACTCAGTAAACCATTGATAAATAATTGTATACTGTATATATCTCATGCAACAGATTCCTTGGGTGGCAATTCTCACACGGTGATGATAGCATGTGTATCTCCTGCTGATAGTAACCTGGAGGAGACACTCAGTACACTGCGCTATGCTGACCGTGCTCGCAAGATTAAGAATAAACCCATTGTTAACAGGGACCCTCAAGCTGCTGAACTGGCTAGGTTAAGGCAGCAGGTATATGCATTGTATGTTTTGTAGTAGCATGCATTTTATATGGGTATGAACATGGAATGGCAACTTAATGTACAGTCCATTTATTATAAGACAGTTCATGACAAGCATTAGTCAAATGGTGACTTCTATTGAATATTGTTTAACTACTTAAAATCGATTTGTTTCATAGGTTCAACAATTACAAGTACAGCTGCTATCATCAAACAGTCACAGTGGAGGGATAAGAGTAGCATCAGCTGATGAGGTGAGTCATGTTACTTAAGAAATGAGAAATTTCATGGTGGGGATTTGTGTGAAATGTAGATGATAGTTAATTGTCATTGCTTCTCTTTGGGTCTTTTCAGGTTTCCTTACTATTTATACTTTCTTTCTTATTTACACTTGTTATTACTGTATTTCTTAATGTAAAGAAGTGTTGCTTGCCTTACTTGCTGATAGTTTACAGCTATGTAGAATACTTCGTTAAGTACCCTAGATCTTCACTATTTGAAGCAGGGCAATCATCAAGATAGGGTTATGAGGGGAATGTTCAAAATCACATGTTGGAGGATAAATCTTTGAAGCAATCGAAGTTGACATTGTAATGAAAACATGTAGCAACATCTTGGGCCTGCTAACCCAAAGGAGGGGGGGATATCTATTTTCCTGTGTGGTCATTTGTGTTACTCAGGGAAAAATATGGAGTTAGAAATGTATTTGTGGCATTTGGAGTCTAGTATAAAAATATGGAGGATTGCAACAGGCATGACATGTTCTAGAGAGGGTGGGGGGGTCTCCATCAGTGCTTCCCCTTATGGTGTTGATCAGCTCAAAGGAGGCCATGCATTAATCCTCATTGTGATTTCTCTGCCTAGCTGAGTCTACTGTATCTTGCATTAATTAAGATAAAGATCTCATCAACAGTAAGAATTGGATGAACCAATGGGTAGTTGTTCTGTCTGTATCATTGTGAAGGTGTGAAGATGATTATTTATTGTTTCAGGAGAAGACTATGAATATATTTTCTTGCTGTTAGTGTATTGCAGTATATATTCTGTGTATAGTTTTTATCAAATTACTGTAAACTGATAGATCTTTATTGCAATATTAATCTGAAAATCTGTCAAATATTTTCTTAATTGTTATATACTGTACCTGTGATCATTTTGCAGATAAATGCCCTTTTGGATCAGAACCGGCTCTTACAAGATGAGAATGAGAAACTGGCTCGAGCGCTACACACGGCTCTTGATGAGAATACAAGCATGGCTGAAAAGGCCTTGTTGGTGAGCAGTACCTGAGACTTCTTTATCTTTTTTTTCCTTCTTGGAAATATATTGCATAATTCTGTCGTCAGTACTTTACCAAGATTTACATACAGTACTATGTTTAATATTTTACTGGTACATATAGGTTGTATGACTACAGTAACTACAGTATAGTATGATAAATAATCAGTTCAGCATGGTATGTATGCTACAGTAATGCTACTGTATGCTACAAACATGCTGGCTAGCAAGGGATGAACTGAAATTATGCAATATTAGTTTTACTTTGTACTTAAATAAATTGTTACTTTTAAATCAGTAGTTCATAGCAAATTGTAGTGATGCTTAGTGAAAAGCTGGTGATGGTATACTGTATGTAGAACTGTGGTCTTCATGTTGGATACTGAATATGAAATAAACTGTGATACCGACCACAATGTTGTACAATGATCATCTAAGACAATGAAGTAATAAAAATGAAATACAGTTTGTCCTAACAAAGGAAATATATTCAAATACAATCTTAAGTTGTTTTTGCTGCCTTTGATTTCAGGTATTTACTGGATTTTTTATTTTTTTTCATAATTTACTCCTTAGGCTGAAATGTCTCAAGACCGCTTGAAGATGAAGTTAGAAGAGCTGAGAGCCCAGACTGGAAATACAGTCGAGGTCCTCAACAAAACATTTGATGTAACTTGTAACCCAAAGTATGAGGATCAGATCAACCTGGTAAAGGAATTACAATCAAAGATCATTGAATTACAAGTGAGTGATTTGATCATCATCACCCTTTTACAGCCATTGTCCAGGCTTGCATGGGTTAGCCTTTTTAATGTGTGTAATGTCCATTGCAGTCTTCAGACCTCATACCTCATGATTTCTTCTGGGTTCACTTAAAACTTGTCATCTACCAAAATTGCCCAATAACCAGAGAAGGAAATTGAGAAGTGTGAGACCAAGAGGCCATTTAGTTTGTCCTTGTCACCCAATCTTCACTGATTTATGATTTCCTCACCTGAAAAAAAACCCCCACACATTAATGTTCCTGTGGTGTGTGACCTATGAGACATCCTGTACATATACTGTATTGAGAAGAATCTGTTTACTGCATTTATGAATCTAGAAGAAATGTAATAGAGTTGATTGTCTGGTAATATGAGATATTGGACATATTTGGAGTAAATGGAAATATGTTGAAGACTGTCGAAAGTTTCCATTGTGAATTCATGGGTTAAAAGTTGACATTAAGAGAAAAATTTTCCCAGCAAAAATAGAACGAGTGCATGTCAGGGTTGTTCAATATTTTCAGATGGGATAGTAAAGTGGTGAAGCACTGATGTAAAGAAGTGGTCATGTTTGATTGACAGGATTATGATAAAGAGTAAATGGAAGGGTGAGTTAGCTGTTGTTGGCTGAAGACTCTGCTGTAATGGTTGATTTAGAATAAAACTCTTAAACGTTAATGACTTTGGAAGTGTATGTTGTGGAAGAAAGATGATGGTCAATATAAACCAAAGAAAAGTCATGAAAATAAGTTGAATAGAGGAATTAAGGGAAACAATGTATCAGGTGTTTTGAGAACTTTATCTAGAAAGGCAATGATATGGATGGGTAGAGAAATACTTGTCAATATTATTGTGAAGTATGAAATCTAGAAGCAAGAGAAAGGAACAAATTAACCCTTTTGATGTAGATCCTGAGTAGATAGTTGTATCCCCAGTGTGAAGGCAAAGTTGGAAAATTGTTTGTTTATGTGTATATATATATATATATATATATATATATATATATATATATATATATATATATATATATATATATATATATATATATATATATATATATATATATATATATATATATATATATATATAGTTATTTAATATCCATGCACACTTTTCTGAAGAGGTAAGTGAATTTACAATAACTGATGGAAAAACTTATACACATAAAGGTTATGATTTGACATTGTTATACTCAGGTGGGATTACCTGAAGCCGGGTAAGGTATTAGTGGTATTCAGGTAATCTGACTCAAATGCACCTCTTCTGTCAGCCATGACTGAGAAGACACTTGCAGGACAACTTGGACGAGATAATTTGTAGGTCATTGGCCTTGTGGCCTTCTCCCTACATGCCAGCTGGTTGAGTCTATCTGGCAATAAGTTTTAAAGTAGGGGAGGAAATTTATTATCGTATATTGTGTGGTGATCGCACTGGTGTTGTTTACCGCATGATGCAACAAACGCATCAAAAGAGTTGAAAGCAATAAAAAGGAGAGTACTGTACTGTACTGTACTGTACTGTAATGTACTGTACTGTACTGTACTGTACTGTACTGTACTGTACTGTACTGTACTGTACATCTACCTTTTCCAGCATTGTACTTGTTAACTTCACTCAGTCATGAAGCTTCAATATGCTTTGTTCTTTTAATATCTTATTAATGTTGGTCTCATTTCTCTCTTATGTATACAATAATTCATTTGGATTTGACAGGGTGAACAGCGTAAAGGGGAGAAAGCCATAATGGACCATGAGCTTTCACGTCACAACATCTCCACCAATACTTTAATGATATCCAGTGATGAAACGACCTCCTCCACCTTCATCACCCAAGATGTGAAATGCGGAGAGAATACAACTGAGTCGGTTGATGAACTTTCTAAGCAGTTTGGAACAGAATATACCCTTCGTCAGGCTAAACTAAATGAAGAATTGCAGGTAAGCAAAATTCACCATATTCTTTATAAATATTGTTTTACTTCAGTGGAATATTAAGTACTGTATATGTATAGTGATGTTTTCTCAAAAATTAATCAATGGAAAGTTCTCATAAATTATGATTTTTTTTCCTTAACAAATCATTTCCCATCTTTTTTAAGTATTTATTTCTCTGTTATTTCTACTTAATAATGCCTGTGGCTAAACAGGTTGCTTCTACTCCTCTGTTTCAGCTCCTTACATTTACGATCCCCAAGACTTGCCTTACAGTATATTGGTGGATATAAGTTGGCAACTAGTTTGAAGGCAGTGTAGGGCATTGTGAATGAGATGTGAATTATCTGAACCGAGTACTATTGCCAATAACCTCTCATCAAACTCTTTTAGTAGTTTGGGTGTGCTCATTGGTTTTTGGATCCACAAATAGAATGTATCTGGTTAAGATTCATTAGAAGGTGTTTCAAGTTCTTCACTGCTGAGGGAGTTGCAGGCCTGCCATCAGATACACAAAAAGTAGTTCTTGGCAATATCTCCTGTCCTCTCTGGCAATGGCTTGATTAAACAATTCCCATTTTTACTTTCAAATTCATTAAACATCCAGGTATCTTCACATATTTAACTATAATTTTACTTTCTGTGGCCAGTCTTTGCTTGGTTCATCTCAAATGTCTGTTCTTCACTTTATACTTTTCTGCTATTTTTTAATAATCAATTAAAACTCACTTCCCAGTGAAAGCTCATCCAGTTATCTATTGTTGGAGATCCCAGTTTTGGTGTTTCTTGAATTAACACATGTCGAGGATACTGCAGAGCCAACCATAAATATTAATTTGCAAAGTACAGTACATCTATAAGTAATTTACTGTTCTTTAAACAAGAAATGTTTTTGTTGACTGGTCTTTTCTTTTCTTTTTTCATGGTACAGTCAGTACATGCACTGTATACTACTTACTGTTAGTTTTCTGCATGAGTGAAATTCTTTTTGTCGGCAAACCAAAATTTACAAAATATGACGATCCTGTTTGCCATGGGCAACAAAACGGCAGTGTTTTGTCTCAATCATCAAGGGTCAACAAGGTCTTGGCCCCTTCTACAACTGTCAGAAATTTTTTTTCAGTATTTGTGTAACACAAACACTTTACCTTAAAGCAAATTATATGCCGGGAGTACAAAACAATTGGGCAGATGCGCTGTCCTGTGTCCGGCCAGTATCGACAGAACAGAATGGTCCCTACAGGTATTGGAGTTCAAGAGTCTCGTGAAGAAGTTTGGAACTCCGCAGATAGATCTGTTTGTCTCCCTAAAAAATCACAAGATGCCACTTTATGCATCTCTGGAGAGGTCGAATCTTTTAGAAAACGCTCTACTCTTAGATTGGAACCTTTGGAATTCAATCTATCTGTTCCCACCTGTGAAAATATTGCACAAAATGGTTCACAAACTCAGATCCTTCCGAGGCAAGGTCCTCTTAATTGCACCATATTGGATCCTACAACCTTGGTGCCTGGATCTGCTGGACTGGTGCCCGAATATGTTACAATTGCAACAAGGATGTCTAGACCAGGTACTACAAATAAATAAATAAATTAAAGAAAATCAATAGTGAGAAACGATATACTGTATACTGTAGGTGAGTTGTGTTGTCAAAGTAAGAGAAATAATTGAGACCCTGCAATTGTGTATAAATGAGGCAGAAAGTCAGATCAGCAAACTGGGACTTGGTCATTTTTTTTATGCCATATGGTAGCAGGGTCTACAGATAACATATTATGCTTCCAATATCTTCCCAGGCGGTAGTGACAGGTATAATAATCTTTTCTCCCATTGGGGCATATCATAAAGTTTGCTAGACTAGAGTGACTTGATTCTGGTGATTCTATTGTGGGCAATGACAAGAGACTGTTGGTGTCTTAAGAGATGTGGTTGCATCAGTGGATAAGTTGCAGCCACTAGTGTTGAGGATTTACTTAGTTTTAAATTAATATACTTGATGGTAAGTTGTGTAACCCGACCTCTTATTAAAAATTGGATTTCCGGGATCAGTCCATCATAATTTTCCTTTCTTTTTTTCTTTAGGACCTGAATAAAGCCTTGGCAATGAAAGAGGAACTGATGAGCAAGATGACAGTTAATGATACACACTTCTTGGCAATGAAGGCCACCTATGAGAAAGAGAAGAAGGACTTGGAGACTCACATTGATCTCTTGTCAAAAGAGAAAGATGAGCTTACGCAACAGCTGAAAGTTGTCTCTCACAGCTCTGCAGGAAACAAGTGAGTTATTATTACAAAATTCATGACACAGACCTATCAGATACATCACACATTCAACAGTTCAATTCAGTTACATGTCTTTGCTTTATCATATTTTAGCTTGGAACCAATAGCCTTTATTACAGCAAAACCTTAACTGAAGCTTGAATTTTCCATATAGAAATTCTGAACAGCATGCAGAAATTTCTCTTTTACCCCCTTACATTTTCAGTACTTCCCTCTTTGCTTTTCTATCTATTTTATCATATGCTATTCTAATATCCACGAGTGTCACTCAGATTTTTCTTTCACCAGATACTTTTCACCCATTTTCTTTACTGTGGAAACTTAATATACACATCCTCTTTCTTTTCTGAACTAAAACTGTTACTTCCATAATAAACTCTGTGTTATTGAAACAATTTTGTCTTTAATAACAAGTTAACCACACCACGTGCTTTTCCATTTATACTCAACAGACTTGTACCTTTATAATTTGTTCATTTATCAGTCATTCAAAATATTCTCCTTATCTTCTTTGTACTTCCTGTTTATATTCTGTAATATATATCCTGTCATTCTTTACTACCATTTCCATTCAATCTAATGGTTGTCTCACATTCCTTTTAGCTGAAGCTGACACTTATTCCTGCATATTGTTTGTTAATGATCACATTTTTTTATATGGAAGGTCCTTTATAAGTTAAGGCCAGAATTTGTTTTTAAATATTGCCAAATAGTTAATTGCAGAAGAGTTAATATGAACTTGTGCATACTGTACAATATAACAAAATGAAATTGGTAGAAATTGTAAAAGAAATTTGTTAAAGTGTCCCCTTCAGTGGCATAAAATATTGTAATACTGTAACTTGTTTATAGGGTCTCGGAACAACGTCGCAAGAGGGTTCAAGAACTAGAAACCCAGATTACAGACCTAAAAAAGAAGCAGAAAGAGCAAGCAAAGCTACTTCGCTTGAAGGACCAGTCAGAACAAAAGGTCAACAAACTCAATTCTGAAATTCAGGTACATGATTGTATGGTTGTATTTTTTACTCATACATTTGTAGGACCTACGCAACTCTTGCGTCAATTCCATTGTAAGCTTTTTTCTTTCTTTTTTTTTTTACCATGATTGCCACTACAAACAAACTTTTTGTGTTGTTGGATGACAAAGTAAAATTTTCATATACAGGGAAGTGAATTATTTGCTTAGAATTATATGACGGTACTTTTTAGAATCATAGGTGAATTTGATATATATATATGCCTTGTATGTTACAGAGTATGAAGGCAACACGAGTAAAGCTCATCCGTCAGATGAAGGAGGACAATGAAAAGTTCAGAGTATGGAAAGCACAGAAGGACAGAGAAGTATGCCATATATTTGATTGATTTTTAATTGGTATTATTTGGTTAGGATTGTAATTAACCTGTTGGGTTTGTTGCCAGCTCAATTTCGACCAGTTATTCAAATAAAACTATAGCAGTACTTTATGAGAATTAACAGTGTTGTGGATTAGAGGTTTTACAGTGGTCCCTCGGTTAACGAGCATAATCCGTTCCAGCAGGTTGCTCATTAACCGAAAATCTCGTTAACCGAAACCATTGTTTCAATGGGTTTTTGGGTAATTGGTTCCAGCTCACCAAAAATTGCCTAAATTCAACAAAAAAGGTAGAAAAGTTCACTTACTTTGAGGTGTGTATGTAGAAGGCTCCTGGATGATGATGATGATGATGTGAATTTGAAGTGGGAGGTGGAGGAGGAGAAAGGAGAAGAGAAGGAAGTGGAGGTGGAGGAGAAGCATTTTACTGCTTGGAAGGTGAGTCACCTTCCATGAAAATGTCAAGAACCTCTGGACTGACAGATTCTCCACCATGAACATCCTCTCTCCTTCTTGAAGTGGAAGGCTGAGGGATAGCATCTTGTTCCCTCTGCCTTTTACTGAAGAAAGTGTCAATTGTGGTCTGTGGGGCATCTCTCATCCTCACCATTAACTTATGTTTAAAGAAGGAGACCATTGAGTCCTCAACATGACACAAAGTTAGTTCAGTTTTTTCCACATCTGGGTGCTTTGAAGCCAGTTCCCTGAACTTCTCCCAGTAGTAAATCACATCTTTGAACTCTTTAGTTGACATATGGTCATCACTTTCAATTTCCTCCTCACCACTGTCAGCCTCTACCTGTAACATCTCATCCAGTTGCTTCAAGTCATCAGGAGTAAGTTCCTCCTCATGAGACATCACAAGCTCTTCCACATCTTCCTCCTCCACTTCAAGGCCCAATGACTGACTAATGGACACAATCTCCTGGTCCAACTCTGTTTCTTCCTCAAATCCCTCAAAATCATGGACTACTGATGGCCACAGTGCTTTCCATGAAGAATTGAGGGATCTAGTGGAGACTTCTTGCCATGATGACACCATCAATTTTACAGCCTCCAGGATGTTGAATTGTGTCTTCCAGAACTGTTTCAGTGTTAGTTCAGGATCATTGGAAGTTGCCTGATGACACCTCCTAAACATTTTCTTCTTGTACAACTTCTTGAAGTTGCTGATCACATTCTGGTCCATTGTCTATGATTTATGTAGTGTTTGGAGGCAAAAACAACACTTTGACAAAGTCAAATTGATACTCCAAATTTCTGGCAAGTTCAGGGTCATGACCAGGAGCATTATCCATGAGGAGAAGAGCCTTTAAAGGGAGTTTATTGGTGGTTAAGTAGCTCTTGACAGAAGGGCAAAACACCTCAACAGCCCATTCATTAAAGAGCTGTCTTGTCACCCATGCCTTACGGTTGGACTTCCAATAAACTCCAAGCTTTGTTCTTACCACTTTCTGTCGCTTGAACACCCTGGGGTTTTCAGAGTGGTAGACAAGCATAGGCTTTGGTCGGAAATCCCCTGAAGCATTGGCACCAAGCAATAGAGTGAGACGGTCTTTTATGGGTTTATGCCCAGGTAAAGAGGCTTCATCTCTGGTAATGAATGTTCTTTTGGGCATCTTTTTCCAGAACAGCCCAGATTCGTCCACATTGAACACTTGCTGTGGAAGATAATTTTCTTCTTCCATCAGTTCTTTAAATTCAACTAAAAACTTTACTGCCCCTTCCTTATCAGCACTAGCAGCTTCACCATGCCTAACAACACTGAAAATGTCACTTCTTTTCTTAAATTTTTCGAACCAGCCTTTGCTGGCCCTAAAATTTTCAAATTCTGTGCCTGAAGAACCAGGTTGATCTGTCTTTAAATGTTCGTAAACCTCCCTGGCTTTCACAAATGAATTCAGTAGAAACTGAATCACCTTTCATCTGTTTTTCCCTAATCCAGATGAGAAGTAACCTCTCAGTTTCTGCAATTAGGGATCTACTTTTAAACACTTGTAGATTTGTCTCTCACTTTCACTTCTTTAAATTTGTCTTTCTGTGCAAGAATTGTCGACACAGTTGATGTCGACATGTCATATTCTTTGCATAGCGCATTTGTTCTAATGCCTTGTTCATGTTTTTTTTATAATTTCCTGCTTAGTTTGGATTGAAATCGCTTTTCTTGATCTCTTAGGCCCCATGCTGGATTCAAACAATGTCAACACGTGATCTTTTAGTTATAAACTTGCTGTAAATAAAGAATATTTTCTTTAAAATAACACTGCACTGTGCTGTATATTGTCAATATGTAAAATAAATTTCAAAATGACCAATAATTTGCTTGGAAACACAGAAAAAAAAGCGTTTAGTTGAAGAGAGTCTCAAGCAAGATGTTACCTCCACTGAAAACAGAGAGAGACTGACGCCTGTTTGCTGTGTTTAGAGGCTGGATGGCACACATAAAACTAGTCACTTTACCTTCAATTATGTTCAATAATTGTTAGAATGACTAGAAAATTAAATATTAAACTTTTAAAATTATTGAATAGTATAAACTTCTTGATATTTACTAAAATAGTAGGGAATTTAAGCCCTAGAACCGACTAATGTATTGGCGGACTAATACTAAAGCTGGTTGACCGCTAAGTGCAAGCCAAAACTTGTTGAGGTTGGCTCGTAAGAAACTCGTTAATCGAGGGATTGCTCGTTAACCGAAGTTAAGAATCTTATGGGAGGTAACTCGTTAACCGAGGGATCACTATATAACTTGAGGAATTTGTCATAGGTATGTGATATCAACCTGGCTATTTAACCTCCATGAATAGATGAGTACAGTCACCTCTCGATTTACATGGATTTAATTTGCACATTTTTAAATAACAATGGTATTAAGTTAATACCTATTATTAAAATAAAATAATAATTTTTTTAAATACAGTAAATCCGTGCTTAACGTTGTTTCGGTACTACGTCGCTAAAGTTTAGAGACCAAAAATTCGTTTAACGTACCGGTGATCCGATACTGCGTCGTTTTGCGTCGTCGCGGACTACTTTCTGCGTTGCATCGCCCGCTCTCGTCTGGCCACGCTATGTTCTCTCGGCTCGGCGCAGAGTCTCGGTCACTCACCACCCTCCTCCACTCCAGCCATACTCCTCCCCTCCCGCCTCCACAGCTTTACCACCCGCCACACACTCGCTCTACCACCTCCGCCCATCGGTGAGTACCAATACAAACTTAGTGTAGTTGTATATGTATGCACTGTTTTATATAGAAATGGCAATGATTTTCTGTATATGTAATGTATGTCATGGGGCAAAGGGAGGCTTAGGAACATAACTCCCTTATTTTATCTATTTCTTATGGGGAAAATTGATCCGCTTAATGTTGTTTCGTATATCGTCGCGTTTTATGGAACGTAACCCCGACGTTGAGCGAGGACTTACTGTAGTACATTTTTTTTAAACGAGTGCCATTGCGCTAGACAGTGTAGTTCACTACATCATTGCTTTCATACTTTACAAAAAAGGAAAAATTAACATCACCTGAACCTCAGCCATTGACATCTGGCATCTCAAAAGCTCCCACTCCTCCCCCATCACCTGCTCTGTCATTTGATTCAGATGACTCCCTCCCCAAGTAACCCCCACCTCTCCTCCACCAGCATGCCATCCCAGCCATCATTGTAAATGTTACCACAAATTTTCATTTAAAATCTATTATTATTACTACTGTATTATTAGGTTAGCTTCTCCAGTATTAATATATTTTTATTATTTTAGGTATTATTATTATTTTTGTTATATTGTAAATAAAGCATATTGAAGGAAATAGTTAAACAAATTAAAGTTTTTAGGGAGCATTTCACCTAACCTGTGCCATTTCCTTTATTTCTTTAAGGGATAATTAAGTTTGATTTACACATTTTTTGCTAACACGGCCATTCTCAAAAACGTAACTACCTTGTAAATCAAGAGATGGCTGTACAGTTGGGTCTTCATTTACGAGGTCAATTGAACCCGCAGAGTACCGCGTAAAACGAGAAATGCTTAAATGAAATAACAGAACATATGGGATTAATTGAAATAGAGACTGGGCCGACCCCCAAACTCCACTTTTTCCGACACAATACGTACCTTGTAGTCAAAATAACATCTTAATTTTATGATGGTATGCACACACAATTAATAATTAAGAGAAATATCAATAATATAAGGTTTTCTAACACTTACATTAGTAGAAAAGATGGCTGGGCACACGGGGATGGGGGGGTTGGTTCCGAGGCAGAGGGCAGATTATTGGCCCTCACCTGTATCACTTGTATCAATTTTGCCGAGTAAATCAAGCATTTCAATTCTGGCAAGGCAACACGTAAATGACAAAACGCGTAAACCAAAACCACGTAAATTCAGACTCAACTGTACTTGAAATTATAGCCAGAACAGAAGGGTGACTAAGGGATGAAACCGAGATGTGATGTCACAGAGTGGAAACTGTTACTGTGATGATATCAGATTTGAAGGATACCTGGAAAGGCTGCTGGTTTGATTAAGTGAAGTGCTGCTTGATAACAATTACATTATTTACAGTACATGAATAATATTTCTTACCTCTAAAACATTAACAGACTTTGTCGTTAAGTGAGTTGGAATTTTACAGATCACTCACCAGCTTTCAACTATAAAAGGGGTTTTTATTATTTAATCCTTCAATTTTTTTGTACTGTTACATTTAAACACTGTACTATGTATATTTTTTCATAGTTCTTTATGTGATATTAGAATACAGTACATTCGTGAAATATTAAGATGATTTAAGGCATGATATAAGCTTTTAACTTAAACAATCTTATTTTAACCTCAGGTTGCCAAATTGAAAGAAGCAGACCGACGGAAAGAATATCAGATTGTCAAAATGGAGCGTCTACACTCCAAGCAACAAAATGTACTCAGGCGGAAAATGGAGGAGGCTGTTGCTATTAACAAGAGACTGAAAGTAAGGAAAGACAAGTATACCCCAGTATAACTTGCATGTAATTTCAGTTTATCCAGATCATACTTTGATGATTGATAGTACAAATGAAGGGAAAGTTGTGTGTGTGTTTCCGGCCACCCTACAGTAAGAGTGGCCAAAAACGGGGGAGTAAATCAATAATTCCATCATTATTTTATATAACTGATGCAGTGAATCAAGCCATACATCCACAGCTTGCAAGTTTAACCCCAGGTCTCCTAGGAACCCTCTACTGGTGTGCTTGTTCTATACTCCAGAAATTGACCAAGCTAGAAAATAAGAGATAGATTCTCTCAGTCCCAACCACAACCCTTGTAAATAGGGGTTAGCTCTGATGATTCAGTTGTGTGAAGGCTAAGATCAAATACTTGACTCTTTACCTTATTTGTAGCCTGAATTTACTGAAATACAGACACTTCCTGGTTACAGATTTCCTACTTTATTGATACACTAATTTTGCAGTTACTTAATTGTATTTATGTTCCATGCTTATTTTTTTTTAATTATTTTGATGTACAGTGTACTTATCTTTCTTTCCTACTGTATGCTTCTATTGCTACTATATATAATTTTTAAATAATAAAAAAGTATTGTATCTTGTAGGTATATTGATTGTATATACATTATGTGCACTATTTCACTATTTAGGTGAAATGTATGTTGAGTGATTAGCTACCTATGGAACGGTCACTTACGGATGCCATAACCTCCATTTAACCCAGATTGTGCCTGTATAAGTGATATAGAGATGCAGTAGATTGACAGTATTTCAATTTGTAACTGAATGTGAAATCATAATTTTAATTTTTTTTTGTCATTTAACAGGATGCAATGGCACTACAGAAGGCTGGTGCTGAGAAGAGAGCAGCATCACGAGACCCTGGGGGTGCTGGAAATCGTATTAGGTGAGAGAGGTGTATTATACTTAACTTTATATTGGTATTGTGAGATTTCAATGTTTGGGGGGGGAGGGTTGAATAGCATAAAGATTTTAGGGGCAGTATTATGTTTTGTGGTGGAAGCATGGCATTCAACTATTTGTGTGTGAATTATTGAGGAATTTCATTACTGGAATTTTGTGTGTCAGGTCCTGGCTGGAAGGAGAACTTGAGGTTGTATCAGTGAAGAAACAAGCCAAGCAGTCTCTGAAAAATCTTGTGGAGGACCGTAAAACCATATCAGACCAGATTAATTCAACCAAGGTAGGGAATATTGGCTTATACCTTTACCTTTCTTCGTGATTAATACTCACATAGATAATGATGACTTCATGAAAAAAATAAAAGGTGTTCAGTGACAGTTCATACCTGCTCATAAAGGACCCATATGTTGTATCATTGTGGAGTATTTTAAATATAATTTTATTATCATGAACGATGTTTGAAATAAACATACAGTACTGTACTTACTACGTTTGAAAAAATAGTTCTCTAATACTAGAACCTTCCCTACAGGCACAAATGAAGAAGGGAGATCTGTCTCCAGAAATGTTGTCAGAATTTTGGAAAAAAATTGGTGACTTGGATAATGACCTTCAATTGCGATCAGCTCAGATTAATGATCTACAGACCAAGATTGTAGATGGTGACGAAGGTATTTGGCAATTAATGAGTGTTCGTGTGTAGGAGTTTGGTTTTGTGTAGATCTGCTTGCATGACATTTATAAAGTTTATTTAATGGAATTTACCCATAATTGGGTTCCATGCCTCTTAACTTGATATTTAAATCTTGACCCATTAAAATATATTTAAGGATATTATTTAACCCCCAGGCACCAAGCTATGGTATGTATATGCACCCTCACCCCATGCACGTATATTTGGGAAAATTAAAAAAAATTATAATAATAATAATAAACTATTCTTGCAAAATGGTCACGTATGATGTAAACATAAAGATGGTTAAGAATTTTGGACAACAACTTTTCACCGTGGGCAGAAGTGAAGAGGTAGGAATTTTAAAGAAAGTAATGAAGAAGCAACAAGTGACAGTGACACTGAAAACTACATTTGTCAAAATTTAATTCTTTGTAACAACATAATTCTGTTTCACTGAGCTTAATTTAAACTGGTTTTAATACAGTACTAAATATCTTAACATACTACCTGATGTCATCAACCCTAATATATTTTCAGATGCTTCAAGCAAGAAAAGGTTTGATTCCATTCAAAGTATGATTGAAGCAAAGTGTGCTCTGCATTTACTCTTTGACGTAGCAACCAGTAATCACGTAAACACAGCAGCACGGGAAGCTGACCTTAAAGATCTTCAGGTATTTATTTATTTATATATTTATATTTTTAGTCATGAATAATAGTGAAAGTCATCATTCAGAAAAAACAAACAGAAGATGCAGTATCTCTATATCTTATCTTAAACAGTAATCATCATACTAAAATGATGGAGGGGAAAGGTTGGGAGGAACAGTTGATGCTCCTTTTTTGGAGTAATTATAATTCAGCATTGTTAGGTATCCATACATTGTATATCATGTAATTTATTCTTGATTTCAATTACACTACGGTAAAAACCTCGAGTACCAGATTATTTAAGCCACAGCCACGTCTTATAACTCAGACGAAATCCGTTATTCGGAGGCGCACACACACAAAGGTATAATGTATAGGACTTTTAGATGTTTGCCTGTATCATATTCTTTAAGTTGTGCCTAATCTTTATTCTGGGGCTGGGGACAGATAAACTCGTATCTGGTCCTCTTGGACAAATTGTTAATAACTGTCTTTATGGCTTTAAGGAACTTATTAATCTTATTTTTAGAGTATTTGTGTTCTGAGGGAGCTTTTACAATATACTGGTCACACAAGAGAAAATTTCAGCATTTCTGTTTGTGTAGTTTTACCTTTCACTTTTGTTAAAGTTATAAAGATCTGTACAAGTCTCTTAATAATTCTTTATGTTTTTGGACTCATTTAACATTCAAGTGTTTGTCATATGCCAACACTCATTGCTATATTAAGTGTTTTGAGTTGTGATCTATATTATATCATATTATACAGTACTGTTAAATAGAGCTCAAGTAAACATAATCAGTCTACATGTTCACTTGATATGTGGCAAGAGTAATGAGTAGCAACATTTCTGGTAATATTGTATAGGGCATATTTGATATGTCCAAATTCAAATAAATTTGTCATGTTTACATAAAAACTAAGGATTTTTAAGATGACATGACACTTTATATGCAGCAGTGTAATACAGTCATTAGATTTTTATGTCGTTACTACCGGAATGTTAAACTTATCAGGTGAAGTGTTTTAAACTTAATGAACTTTCTTACAGTAACAGAGTGATAAACAGTATAGAATTGTATATCATAAGTGTGAATGTTGCTGGCAAAAGAAACCAAATAAACAACTAGCATGGTTCCTTTTTTAGTCACAGTATGATGAAGTGGCTAACACTCTAGAAGAAATGGAAGCAGAGTTGAAGACATTAAAAGAGAATCACCAAGCAGAGTTAACACGCACGGGACGGCAGCATGAAGAGAAGGTGCTCTTCCTTCTTGGTCATATGCCTAAAGTAGAGGTAAGGGTTGTTTCTTTGTCACAGTGTTCCTATGATATTAATCTGTCATATAATTATACTGTATGAAGTTATAATAGTGTATGTCATAACATGTGTCCAGGAAGTAGCAGTGTGCATGAATGACTGGTAAACATAGTGCTAAGTGAATGTGCTTGTGATGGATGATCATGGGATGACCCAGATGTATATCTAGGAGCCTTGCTGTCAAAAGGGAGTACCAGATCATAAAATGTGTTACAGTTGCTAGAACAAGTGAGTGAATTAGTTTTCATTACTCTTGATTCCAGCCACTTACACCAGAGTGGGAAAGAACTTGCTAGAATGAAAAATATGTACTGTGCTGTGTGTATATACCAGGAAAAAGCTGGTAGTGGACTTGAATGAAAATATAGTTAAAGAGTGTTAACTAGAACATAGATAGGATAGACGACTTGTATTGTTTGAAATATCTGGTAATGGATGTGTCAGCATATGGAAAGATGAGTGGTGAACTGAATGACAGAATTGTAGAAGGAAATCTGGTTAATGGTGAATTGATAAATGTATGGAGAAAGACCTGTGTCAGCCAAAGATTGAGAATGTACAGTACATGGGAATTGTTAAGCTGGCATAACTATGTGAGGGTGAAAGATAGACTCACAATGCAAGAGGAAGGGACAAATGGGAAAGAATAATAATAATAATGTTCTTAAGAGCAATATGTGGTGTAAATAGGATGTAAAGAATAAGAATTACAGGAATGAGATGTAGTAGTGTTAAAGAGTGAATTAGTGTTTGTTCATGAGGTATAAACATAAAAAGGGAACTGCAAGATTAATAATAGTAGTGGGAAGACCAAGAAGATGGATACACTAGAAGTGAGGGGGGGTTGGATATCCAAGAGGCAGCAGTGTGCATGAATGAGCAGAAAGCAATTTGTTAAAGAGCTTGTTGGTGAAGAATGTGGTGATGATGGGTGATTTGTTTGGGGGGGAAGGGAGTACCATAGTAGAGCATATCTTTTTGAACATAATGAATGATTGAATGTCAACAAATGAACTGAAATTGTGTAGTATTACTAGTTGTGTATACTCTTCTTTCTGGCCACCATAATTAAGTGGATAATAGCTATAGAAAAGACATTTCAGTTACCAAACCCAGTTTTTAATTTTCTCCATAGATTATTAATGAATTCAGAAAGGGAAGGGGAACTAAAATCCCTGTACAGTGGGGTATGCTATAACGAACGGATTCTACTTCAAATATTCCTATAACGAACGGTTTTACCTATAAAATTGAGAATGCTATAACGAACGCAACTCCTACGACGAACGCGGATGAATACGGGACTATTTCGTCTGGCGCATGAATATTGTTGTACCGCGGCTCACAGCAAGAGCGTCAGGCGCCATATTGGTTCATTGTGTAGTCAGTGCACCACTGAACTTGTTGAAATTTCGTCTTTTGATGCGGAAATTCGTGTTATTTTTATAACTATTTTGTTATACAAGTGTACAATTATAACAATGAATTGTCAAAAGCGAGTGAGAAAGCTAATAACCCTTGAAACTAAGAAAGAAGTTATAAACAAACAGACAAAGTGCCTGTAAGACAGTCACCAAAGAGGGCTAGGAAGGATGACTCCTCTCCTTCCACCTCTTCTCCATAATTCTCTCCTCCCCCCTCCTCCTGTGCCTCCTGTCCTGCATGCTGAACAACACTAAGGTAAGATAAAGTACCGTATTTTTTACAATTTCCACATAAATTTTTCAGTGTTAAGTGGTTGTATTTGGGGGCCTGGAACGGATTAATCCTATAACGAACGAGGTTCTAGAACCAATTAGATTCGCTATAGCATACCCCACTGTATTTTGTTTGACAAGAACATTAATGAAGGGGATATTAGAACTCAAATATCATATAATTAGGGATGAGGAGATAATAGTAGAAATATTAATGGGCAAAGTTGTTGGTAGGAGTGCCAGGGGAAGGTAGAGACAGGGATAGATGAATGAAATTATAGATTCAGTCCCCTAAAGAAATGCAGAATCTCAGAGAATTCGTAAAAGTATCCCTAAAATGTTTAGAGTGGAGGACTGTGGTCGCTGATTTTGATATGAGGATGGTACCGGTACTGTTATTGATTAGTTGAATGCACATCCATTCCCTTGTAATTTTGGGGAAATGCACCTGTGGTAAAACTGCTCAATATGTGAAATGAAACACGGGTGACAAGTATACTATACAATAACTGTTTATTTCTTTCATCTGACCACAGCATGAAGTGGTAGAAAATGAAGATGCTCATAGTATTGCACTAAGGGAGAGGCTACAATTTCAAGAAGATGAAATTGCCCGCCTTTCCACATTGCACGAAGAACTTGAAGCCAAGCGAGAAGAGTGTGAGACACTAAAGAAGGAGCTGGCTAATGCAAAGGTTGCTGGAAGCAGTCAGGTAGATACAATATTAAAGTTCTTTCATAATTTAAAGCTCTGTAAAATTTGAATTCTTTTGCCTCCAAAATGAAAATGTTCAATTAAACAAATGTTATCAGAAGATAAAGGAACTTCCCCAAGTTCATAGTAATGTAAGAGTAAAAAATTTCAAATTATTTCACAAGTTTACAGAAATATGACACCTGAAAACAAAGGTGCTAGGATATAACATAACTTCTTTTGTACTTAATACAGGCAAGCAAAAATAAATAAATAGATAAATAGAAATAAAAACCATGTAGATTTGTCTGGTCAAAGTACTGTACAGGCGAGTCAAAATGTGAAATTTAATGTTAAACTCATCTGGTTTAATTACAAGTTCGCTATATGTGTAAAGGGGTTGCCTAAAATATCATCAATATACATTACATAATCATTCAGAGATCATCATAATTTATACAAATTTTGAATGGCTTTATTTTTATTAAATCTTAAAGAATCGTCAACTGTAACTTACTTAAGTACACTATGTTATTACTGTACAGTACTTTGTCACCTCTGGCAGTGAACCTTTCTTTTCATATACCATGGCTCTTTATTCAGTAATCAATATTTATAGGGGTGTAAGATGGAGTAATATTGTACGATATGTTTTCCCATGTGGGAAGGCGGGTTTGTCTGTGGCAGCGCCGAGTTAGTCAGTTTCTGTCTAGCACTAGCAAGAGTAAAGTCACCAAAAAACCTGGCATATTATTCAAACCTTTCACAGGGAGGATTAATGAGTTTTCCTCTGATAAATGAGTGTTTGAGAGTTATGCCATTCAGTTTGTTTAGAGGTTGTACTGTATTCTGTTCTTAACCTCAAATATTATTGTCATGTATATTAGCCTTCCATTTTCCTAAAGATAATCCTTAAATTCTTTGCTTTTTGCATGGGGATGTTATTAGTTTTTTATTCTTGTTGGCATAGAACTTTATGTGATGGCATTTTTGTTACAGGTAGTTTACAATCCCACCGTTGCAAACAATGATCGTCGCCGTACATATGTGAAGACCAAACCCACCAAGAAAGTGGAGTTGGTAGAAGAACCTCTCTTTGAGTCTGAGGAAGATTCTGATGGAGGAGACACTAAGGATGATCCAGACTGGCGTAAAACACCACTATTTAGAAGGATAAGACAATTGACTGTAAGTTACTTAATGAATGACTCAGTCTACTGGTGGCAAGTGACAACCATACTGCTCTTAATGTTTTTCCATCCATCTTTCCTCCCATACACCTACAAACAATTACAGAAACAAAACAAAAAACACACAAACTTATATTCCTTTCATTCATTGTTGCTGTAATAAAAGGTGAATTCTGACTTACTCCCTTTCCATAATGAAACATCAAGTCTGGTATATCCATCATTTCCTTCCTCTGAACCATACACACCTTTAACCAGTCTGTCTTGTTTTCTTCCTCAACACAGTAACCAGCAATCAAAAAATTTATAAACATCTTAAAGGTTCCACTGTGTTGTTTAGGACCTATTTTTCACCAATATGCAGATTTTTGGAGTAGTTTTGTTTGTGCCATCTTTTAATGATAATGAATTGATAGAGCATACAGTACTGCTAGTATTATGAAAAACAGCAATGTTGAATACTGTATAAAGATACTTATGCAATAATTTAACATTAGTTTGTGTTGCTAAAATATATCTAAATATTTTTACATATTTGGAAAATTTATCAACTGACAATGATCTTTTTTTCTTTTCTTTTTTCTTGTAGCACAATGTCAGATCGTTTGAAGATGCAAATGAGGAGAATGAAGAAGAAATTCTAGGGAAGAAAGATAAAAAAAATGCAACAAAGCGAGACTCCGATGGGGAAGTGAAATGTGGATGCAAGGGAGACTGCTCGAAAAAAATTTGTGCCTGTCGTAAAAATTCAAATGCTTGTGGCTTGAAATGTAAATGCAATGTAATCAAGTGCAAAAATCGGTCAACTCCAGATAGCAGTATCTCTGATGTAAGTATCCTTTGGATTGTGTAGTATATAAATCATCATGAGCATTAGAGAGACACATAAAAGTTGATGTATATATGTAGGGAATGACATATGTTAATATTTGAAGGGGTAGAAAATCATTTTTGAGAAAGATGCTGACTGGCTAACCTTTCAGCATCCTCTAACTATTTTGAAAGAAGATGCCAGTCTTGTCAGAAGTGAAATGGTTCTTAGTTAGAAAAGCTTGCCATGTGTGGGTGATAGTACAGTACTTTATCAATTTATGTAGACAAGGGCAAGAGTTAGGGTTGGGGGCATGCAAATAGAATACTGAACACCAAAATTTTTATTTTTTTTTTAATGTACAAACTGAAATTCTCATAAAATTATCTCAATAACTGAATAGAGATAGATAAGTTGGCAATAAAGTATGTTTCCTTGTGTTTCAGGTTAGTAAGGGTGACACCTTGCTAAACTCAACATTTGACATCACAGCGCTTCCTCTTCAAGAAAGCAATATTAACAAGAGACCTAGGTAAGGCTAAGCATGTGGAATATTATCCATCTGTGTGTACACTCTGTAAAAAAAAAGTATCTTTCATGAAGGATCCAATGCCACATGGGCCTTTTATCAAAAGCCTTCATTTGTGGTGTCATTTTGTTTTGTCCAAGTATTGTAAAGATATATTTTTTTTTACCAAGTATACAATACTTCTACATGACATTTTGGGATACTGTAATTTGCTCAGGGTTTGACATTACTGTACTTCCTCATGGTTGTAATATTTGTGTCTTTATCACATTGCAAAGGTGTTTACAACTGTTTAATGACCCAGTTTGACATTATCACATTGCAAAGGTGTTTACAATTGTTTAATGACCCAGTTTGATGTTGGTTGGTGAGCAGGTATGTGGGCTTAAGGCTTTGAATCTAGATAATGAATCTCACCATTCACACTGGCTTGTAATGGTAGTTCAGTCTTATCTGAATTTAACTAGTTCTATTAATAAATAATCTTTGATTTTAATTCATTGTTCTAATAAGTCACTAGAACCAATATACAATATCTATATTACAGTAAAGGGTATCAAACTCACTCAACTACATTACATGTGCTGGGCTATGCTTCTCCCTTCTGTGTGGGGTGCCTATGAAATATATCCTCTGGGGAGGGTCTTGGTCAGTGATTAAGGTGTTTGTGAGTCATTCTCTGGATGAGACCACAACAGTTTTGACTGACATTTAGGGGTTTGTAAGTTTAGATGCAGTAGTAGCCTGACTTCCATTATAGGGTTCAAGTTTCACTAGCACTTGAAGTTGACAAGTCACTCAAACCTTGTACTGATATTTGGCTATTGAAGAAAAAATTATCCCACAATCCCATTTCATATTTAAACCTAGAATGAGTGACACAGGTTCTCTCCCTCTCAGTATGGCTCCTGAGGTGAACTGAGTTGGTTGATTCAGAAATTGTAGCGGAACATTAAGGGTCCTAGAGCAAACTACAGTAGTGTTAATGTGACTCGTCTTTTTTGTACCCATCAGGTTTCTTTAAAGATACTTGGATATGACAAAATTATAATATAATTTTTTGATTAGTTCTAGTCACATGTCTAGATCTTTTGAGCTCAAGAGGTTTCAATACAATACTGTACTGTATGTAGACTTGTTATCTGTACAGTACTGTGCTGTATTGTATATGAGTCACCTAATCAAAGCTTGACAATAAAATGGGATTTCAGAATCAATCCTTTAGATATTTAATTTTTTAAGTCAGTTTTTTTTTAACTGATTATTTGTTATTTCAGATTACAAGTCACATCATCTCTTCTAGACACTTCATCACACTCTGAAAGTGACAGTCCAGATTTTCTGCCAAAGTTTAAGATTGACTACTCGGAGTCTCCTTCCTTATTCTAAAATAACCTTTTCCATTCTTGCTGTATCTGTACTTTGGATCTGTGGTAATATAAAGAAGATTAATCACTCAGATACTATTTTGGGTCATTTACTCTTTTGATGTAGGACCTGGGATGAAAATGTTCAAAAAATTGGAAGAACAGAGTAAAAGATGGACTAACAAGAGGCATCATTGTGTAGAATATAATTTCTGAGATCCTCAAGTTCATTGTTTTATACTGAGGACATTAATCCCCTCGGTTACATAAATACTGTAGGAGTTTGGTTTAAAATCTGTTTATAAAATTTATGCTGTAGTGTTAATATTACTGGACACTGTTGCAAACTTTGTCCATTTTTATTTTATTGTATATTAAAGATAACATTAACTTATATTTGGGTGTATTTTTCTTTATATACTACACTAAATTCAGATTTGTTTGTTGAGTGCAAAAGAATAACTCTTGCACTCACCTTATCATATCATATTTCCATTGGTATATTGTTTGGAGGAGACAGTTAGCACCAGATATAACATATGGAATTGAACCAAAATTTCTGGAGATACTATTTTCATAATACTGAACACGAAAATGGAAACGAGAATGCACACTTACCTACCTTACATCACCTAACTTCATAACCTGTACACTGTCATTTCGATTTTCTTACTTAATATCATCCAAACAACATGCAGTATTGAGAAAAAATTAACAAATTCAATCTAATGAAAATTGGAACAAACACTTCATGAAAACATCATTAGTCTCTTGACATGTAAACAAAGACTGTGGATGCTCCCATATAGTAGATGAAGTGAACCAAAACTGGTTGCCATGGGAGATCCCACGGAACCATAATTATGGTAAATATTTTATTTCTTTGCCTACAAAGCACATAGAGACATGAAATTACTGCTATATGATCAGTGTTAGCAGTCTCTTTACCACGTTAATTCCCTCTTCTTTTATGCCATGCCCACTAACAAGTAATTTAGGATCGAAGGATGGGCTAAAAATAAAATAAAATACTGCAATGATTTTGTTTCAATTTTATGACTCGGTATCATCCAAAGAACAACTGTAGAAAATATGAACGAAACATATAAACATGTTCAGGTGTTAACCGTCTGCTCCACCTTTACCTATTGTTTTAAATGTCATATTTATAAGTAAAACTGTTTATAGAAAAAATCATTCCATGAAGTTCTGCATTTGGTATTAGCAAGAGTAATTATTTATAAGTAAAACTGTTTATAGAAAAAATAATTACATGAAGTTCAGCATTTGTTATTAGCAAGAGTAATTCGGTTGAATACTGAAGGGCTTTGAATACAGTACTGTACAGTACTAGGACAAAGCCCTATGTTACAATACAGCATGCCCTTAAAATTTGTGGGGGGTTTGGTTCTCAAAATGGCCACAAATGCCAAAGCCGCAAATATCATTTGCTGGGGGGGCATTTTTACTCGTGTTCAAAGAAATCTATATTCCCCTTGTGTGTTTGCCCTAAGGACAACTATTTCCTTTACCTGTACTGTATATGTGTGTGCCACACACACACACACACACAAATAAAGAATAATGGGTAAATCCTCTCTTAGATAATTGGAAACGAGACAACAAAATGTATCAAAATTTAAAAAAAAAATGCGAGAGTCTACCCTCAAGTTAACTCCACGCTTTGTTATTAAAGTTGGGTTGCCATACGGCAATTTTTTTCTTCATAAAAATTACCGTCTCTAGAATGAATGGCATCTGAGCCGCAGTTGGGTTGATATGTAGATCAAACTTATAAAATTTCTTTCGTAGCCATCTGGCCAACCCAACATGAAAGTTGTTGGTAATTGTGGTGTAATACTACACAGGTACTTTTTTTTCACAATATGTATGTAGGATGGTGTGTGCATGTAACCAAGCACAAATAAATGAAGAAAGTTACGTATGTACCCAAAAATACTAGTTGAAAACCATAATACCTCTCATCTTGGCCCAATAGCCTTTAACCACAATGATGAGCTAACCTAGCTACAATGCCATGATTAATCACTTTTATATCAGTAAACACTATTAATAACAGTAAATCCAGTGAAATATGGCAGGGAGTGAGAAGTTACAACTGCAGACGATGCACTAACTAGCAGTCACTCACTCCCCTGCCAGGCCTCGCCAGGCTTATGTATGGGAGAAATACATGACCTTTTCTCTCTTCACTTGTTTGGGCACCTTCCTGCAGCTGGATGAAGGTGGTTGAGGGCGTTTGGGAGCCATCACAAGCACAAGGAACACAGCTGTTAAGAGAGCAGAGTTGCACAGACACAAAGTGGACAAGTGTTTAACCCAGACTGGGGCGGAGGGGGAGCACACATGGCCCAGCCACCTGGGACAAGAGACACCTTGCGGAATGCCATAAAACCCGCTGTAAAAATTCCGCTAACTTTAAAACTACCTGCAGACATTCTTGGGTACATCCAGGGTATCATCTGTGAATAATCGAACGCCACGAATTGTAAGGGTATGCTGTACTACAAAGTCTTTAATACTGTATGTATTGATTTTACTTTTGTTTTTAATTTTTTAGTGGATGAAGGTTTTTTATTTTAACCCAATAATTGCTGCATTTTGGAAAGCAAGAGTACTGTACTCTATATACTGCAAAAAAAAATCAAGGTTTGTTTTATTTACTGAATTTTATTTATTTCTATTTTCTCTAATAAAATTGAAGATATAAAACCTCGTACTCATTGTGGGTGGTGAGATGAGTGTATGAAGTGAGGTGAGAAAGTAACTGGCAACTGCTGAGTGCTGTTAGTTGTTATGATGAAAGAGGTGGTTGTGGTGGCAGGGCTGTGGAGTCGGAGTCGGAGTTGAGGAGTCGGAGGAAATTTCGGCTTGTGGAGTCGGAGTCGGTAAAATTGTCCAGACTCCGACTCCGACTGAAGCTATTCTGTTCCTAAGAACAAATATATGAACTCAGGCATATTCATTGCAGTGATTCCACTGATCCCACTAATTTTCTTAAATTATTAAAAGAATTTATTTCTATTTTATAAGCATTATTATGAATTTATTGTAGCAGGCACAGTATAGCACTATAATTTTGGACGATAGTCTCTTCTTTACCATTTGAAATTTTGAATTATATCAAATTTTGTTTCGTTGAAAACTGCACAGAGGCTCTCAGCTACAAAACAATTAGCTACAACCTGTTTTTGGTGAGATTAAGGCAAATTTAATTTAATAACTTAATCATGTAAGGTTTATCCATTTTCCTTAATAAGGTATTCATTTCTTTAATGTACATAAATATATAACTTTACTTTAAAAGGAATTGTAGGATCATCATTTAGATCCACATCAGATTATGAGCTTAAACAAAATTCATATGCTGAGATCGAACTTTTAGATATACATGTAAATGGTGTTTTCTAGTTAATATCTTGAATTCTTAATAAATTTATTTTTCTTTTGATTGAAACTTTGAAAGTCAAGCCTATCATCTTTTTGTAGTTCTTAAATATCGTCCAGATCATTAATAAAGCTGTAGCAGTATAGCCACGGTGTTTTACTTTTTACCTATGCAGGTTACAACATACAAATTACAATTAGGATGGTAGAAATAGTTGTTACAAATAGGCCAAGGAGTCGGAGTCGGAAGCATAAAAATTTGAGGAGTCGGAGTCGAAGGTTTTGTCTTCGACTCCACAGCCCTGTGTGGTGGTGCTGCATTTGGTTTTTATGGTGTAAAGAGTGGTGAGCCAGGCTGTGGTGTCATAGGTGTGGGTGAGGAGCCATTGAGAACAGGAGGGTGATGAAGCATAAATAATACCAAATTATTCCTAGATGATGATAGGAAGTTGATTTGAGGCTCCACCAGCTTTTTGTCTCACTCTTAGTGTCTTACCATTCATTGACTTTCTTAATATGATTTTTGGCACAGCTTTAAATTCATGGTGCCAAGTGCAAACAATGATTTGGTTTCAGAAAATCATCCAAATGTATATTTGTTTATTTTATTAGCAAGTGTATAAAGTCTGAGTGGTATGCTTTTGCTTTCTTGAATGATAACCTCAGTTGGAGGGTAATAATTGGTTATAAACTATCTACAGTGAATGGAGTAAATGGTCATCAAAAGGAGCCTTTTTGTATATTGAGTATTATCACTAGTGTACATTATTCCTTTTAATATAGCGACTAATTGTAGAGAATAGGAAGAGCATTCAGCTATAAAACTTGTTACAAATTTGTCTGTGTTAACCAGGAGAGAGGCTGAAAGAGACCGTGCAAACCTACAGAACACGTGTGGAAACTGGCTGTAAGTTGATGAAAGAACAGCTATGCAAGATAACTTTTTTCATAAGAAATGAAATAGCTGTGAGTTTGGCAGAAGTGTTAATGTCATGATGTACAGTACTAAGGCAAAAGACTGCTAAGCTGACATACATTATGAATGAGTGTTGGTCATAAGTGGAATGATTGAAAGGTGTGACCTGACTGGACCTCCTGACTGGCTGGACTAGGATGCTTCTGGGACCTACTGACTGCCGTAGCCAAGTGCTGTGATTATTATAATAATAATAATAATAATAATAATAATAATTAACGGTTTATTGAAAGAGCTTGGCAGCCAGAAGGCTGAAAATATACAGTTACATATTTGGGGAATGGGTTACGAATTACATATAATATACGAGTAACATAAGTGACACAAATAAGACATATAATAACTAGATGGGGAAAAGCTCAAACTACAGTTCATTTCAACATAGTGACAGTGCAAGGAGTAGTATTTACTGGGAGTGAATACACTGATTTATTACAAGTTATTGATAATTTTTACAATGGTTGGGACTGGGCTGTTCTTATAGCGATCAGTTCGTGTACGTATGGGCTGGATGCGGTTGTGGTGTCGAACAGCAATTCTCGGACTAGGGATCTCAGGTGGTAGTAGGAGCCGGTGTCGGGGATGGTGTAGAAGCTTCTTACCAAATTTGCAGATGAGGTCGTGGTGATGGTCAGTGAGAGTCGAAAAGGGTCAGTGTGTTGAGCGCTTCTTGATATGTGGAGTAGGAAGGGAGAGAATAATCTTGCATGCCCTCTTTTGCACTTTTTCTAGGTGTTTACGTTGTGTGGCATTTAGGGAGGAAGACCAGGTGGTGGAGGCATAGGTGAGCTTGGGAAGTATGAATGTTGTGTAAACACTGAGGAGCTCGGGTGCAGGAACTCCGAGGGACTTGAGTCGGCGGAGGAGGTGGAGACGGAAACTGGAGGATTTGACAACTTCACTGACGTGTGGTTTCCAATTTAGTTTGTTGTCTATGGTGACGCCGAGGAGCTTCGTGGAATCTACAACCTGGAGTGTGTTCGGACCTAGAGTAATGGAAGGAGGTGGGACAATGTCGGAGGAGAGGTTGATGTGCATAACCATGGTCTTGGTATGGTTGATGGTGACATAGTTGTTGGTGGCCCAGTTTTGGAGACTGTTCAATAAATCCTGAAGGGCGGTATAGTTGGGAGCAGAATTGTTGACGCTGATCCCAATGGTGGAGTCGTCGACATATTTCCAGCGAGCAGGGTTTCTCTTAGGGCATCATTGATGAGCATAAGGAAGCAGAGTGGTCCCATCTTGGTGCCTTGGGGGACGCCACAGGTAGTGAAAAGGTGGAGACAGCCCCACCGAAGCGTGCAGCTTGGCGTCGGTCACTGAGGAAGTCATAAGCCATGGTATAAGACTTCTCCGAAGCCGAGGTCCAATAGCTTTGTTGATGATTATATTGTGGTCGACTAGGTTGAACGCTTTAGTGAAATCAATGAAGGCGACAGCTACAGACGTTTTTCGTTTCTTGAGATGGCGGTATATGTAATCGAGAAAGCTGACAAGACAGTGAGTGGTGGAGGAAGTTTTCATGTTGCCAAATTGCTGAGGGTCTACGACTCCTGCAATATCAGCATAAGCCCAGTCGAACACAAAACTTTCACAGATTAGGCTGGGTATTGGGGTGATTGCAATAGGTCGTAGCTGATTTAAGGATTGTGGGCTGGTTGACTTGGGCACTGGTGATACATAAGAGGTCTTCCAGTCAGCTGGGCATCTGGCTTGACTGAGAGAAGCATTGATGATGGAGCATAGGGGTTTAGCAAGCTCCGGGGAGAACTCCTTGAAGAGTTTCATTGGTAAGTCAATGTGGGTGGTAGAGCGTTTTAATTTTAGTTTGTCCAGGCGTTTTGCTACTTCAAATTCTTCTACTAAGTCAGTGGGAAGGGGGCTGGTAGGTAAGCAGGGAGAGTGGTTGTGTCAAGCCGGGGGAGCGTCTGGCATATAGTAGCGAAATGGTTATTTGTTTGCTCAGCTGCGTCAACATTAGTGAGATGGCTAAGGAAGGGGAGGGGTGTGTCTTATTGTTTAGTCCACAGAGTTCTTTAAGCTTACCATACCATTGACTGATGTTGGTCTGCTTCAGGTGTTGTAATTTGGTTGGGTAGTGGGACTTCTTTGCAGTGCGTATTTCGCGGTTCTTGAAAAGGGACCTGTAGCGGATGTGGTCATTGAGATGAAAGGCTCTGTCTCTCTGTTGCATAAGTCTTTTGATCCGAGGTGTGATCCAGGGCAAGTCAGCTGGGTGAGATCTGACGGACTTCTCGGGGAAGAAGTGGTGGTGTTGGTATAATTTATCCA